CTCTTACTTGAGATAATGAACAAAAATAACAAAAAGAGGAGCACTAATTAGACAATTTTAGGACTTAAAAAAATTACCTTACTGTAGAAAGCATAAAGAGACTGATCAGCAAATAACTTCTTACGCACAAGAGCTTGATCCTCTGCTCCTATGCATACGCTTGCAACTTCAACTTGCTCAGTTGATACTATGATTCGGCTTCCTTTCTTGTTGTCTGGGAAACATGTTTTGATGCAATTCCAATCTTCAGTGGTGTTAATTTTATTGAGTACAATTAGATAACTCTTGTCATTCAAATATCTCTTGAACTCATAAGCCAAACCATCTTCTGTCACCGGCGCCATCATCTTCAATATTTGGGCCCCAATAGTTGTTTTTTCTTCTTCTCCCATCTCTTGAAAAGAATTAATATAGATTTGCCGAACAATGCTTCGAATGAAATCTGTCTGACTGAAAGGACACATCAATGTGATCAAAGCACAGCAATCAAAATTCTTGTGTATCATGGGATCTTCATAGGCACTTTCGGTGATGGACATCTCCTGCAGATCACTGCTACTTGTGCCCCACAACGCTATCACTCGAAGTGCATCACCATTGTAATTGATCAAGTTGACAAGATCCATTTTTGCTTTCTGACGCCGCAGCCTTGCATCATCGGCGGCCGACATCGTTGCGCTAGACATGATACGCTGCCCAACAGCGGAGGTAGGGTTGGAGCTAGAGCCCTTGATGAGGTGGTACCGTTGGCTCCTCTGGCTGACCTCCTCCACCTTGTCTCTGAGCTCCTTCATCTGCATCGCCACATAACGGCGGGCCAGCACCTTGCGAGAGAGACACCACCAGGATTGCTTCTCGATACGGACAGCAAAATCCAGGAGGCAGTCCTCGACGGTGTAGGAGACGTCACGGACTTGTTTCACCCAAGTCCGGACCACCCTATTGTCATCTCTCTCTTCATGCGCAGCCATCAGGAATGACTGCATCATCTCGAGCTCGTCTGAAATGAAGGAGTGGTCTCTCTGGACACCAAGCTGCAGAGCCACCTCCTCGGCCGCAGCAGACTGGGCGTAGTTGAGCGCCCCGCTCAACACGGACTTGCCGATGCTGATGGCCGTCGCCTCCATTTTTACAGGATGTTTCTGTGGATCAATTCAATTGGTTTTTACGGATACAGACTGTACTGCAAACAAGATCAATTGGATCGATCGATGTTAATGGCTGCGCTGCGCTTGAGCTAAATCTGAAGAGGCAAATAAGAGAGAGAAAACAGAGCATATACCTGGCGTGGTGGACGGCAGCCTCTTGAGCGACCAAAATGGGGGTGAAATCCAAGACCGTGACCGCAGCCTCAATACCAAACGACCAAATCTTCCGGGCGAAGCAGAAAGATAATTTACAAACTAATTAGCAAATGGCTAAATTATCCATTACTAGAGCAGACTAAGAAAGATAATTGACGATTCATCAAGTATAATTAGCAGATGACGAAATGTAGAGAAGACGGACGGGGACACGTGATTCAGAGGGTGTGAGTGTGATAGATCCAGCAGCAGAGCAGACTAACAACAATAAGAAGAAGGACAAAAGAAATTACCAGGAAGAAGGGATGCCGTCGCATTCGCCTCCGCCGGTCCGCCGTGGTCGATCTGAGATGGGGAAGGAAGGAAGCACGGTGGAGGAAGAGGTGGACGGAAAAGAGAGATAAAGCCGGGCCATGGGCATGGAGTGAGATCCTTTCCTTGTTGGCGCCGCCTCCGTACGTCACGTCCTCCAGGGAAGACGAGGAGGGGGAAAAGAAGATTCCTTTCTTGTTGCCGCAGCAGCAGCAGCAGCAGCATACGCATCTTCGTGGTGGCTTTGCGTCCCCTTGGCGATGGGGTAAAGAGGGATTCGATTCTTCCGGTCTATTTGGAGTTGGTTGGGAGAGGGAAAGGGATTCGATTGCACTTGCAAGGGGGGGCAGCTCGGCAATGGCGGAGGAGGCGTGGAGCAGCAGCAAGCGGCGGCGGAGCGGAGCGGAGGCTTGTCCGGGGAAGGAAAGGGTTCGGTTGGGCCAGTCTCGTCTAGAGATATTTTTTTACAGAAGAAACGATCCACAAAATGGGCCCACAGGCCACTACTATTATCGTCCACAAGTTTGGAGGATAATATATCTAGAAATGGGCCCACAGGCCACTACTACTGGATATTTTTTACATTTTAAAAATTGTTTGCTTATTTTAAATAAATATCTATTTATTTTGAAAAGTACTTGTACATTTAAAAAAACTAATGGTGTACTTTTCAAATCAAATAGAAAAAAGAAAGTAAGAAAGAGAGGAAAAAACAATGAAGACATGCACACACAATGCCGTTATCAAGTCGATGTAGTTCACTAAAAAAAAGTCAGTTACAATTAGCAAAAAATGTTGTTGTGCCATTCATCCAGGTTCTTCCTCCGGACAACTTCAATCAAAGTTGGAGTCCGCCTGGATGAACACTTTTTTTCTTTTAAAGTTTGAAACAACACATGGTTCTATTATATTGTAGTCTTCTTTTCTTTTTCTTCATTGTTTTCTTGAGAAAAAAGGAGATCACATTCCGTCAAATAGAGTATACACATGAGAACCAACCTGTGGTCGGATGGTTAGGAGGGCCACCGGAGATCAAATCCTAGGTTTGGCACTTTGGTGTAATCTCAACATTCGTCGGCTGAGTCTTTTGGAGGTGTTCGTATGAGTAGGGTGTGCGTGTATGCATTTATAGGTGTGGTGTATTTACGTGTCTGTCAGCATTTGTGAGTCTGCGTTGTGTTTCTAAGAGAAAAAATAGATAGAGTATACAAATGAGTTGTCCACTTGGATAAATCAAAAGGGTTGCACGCTATCGCTATGCGCTGGTTTATTCTAGAAAACATTGCCGAGCAATGGCTCACCTCACCCTGTTTGGGGATCTAAGAATCTTGAGAAATTTAAACTCTCTTCAATTCTTGAACAAGGCTCGAGTATCTAGCTTAACCACATCCTTTTCCTGACGCTAACAGCATGAACAAAGGTTTGTGGTATAGACCGTCTCAAGGATCGCCCGTAACTCTGTCCACTTGAGAGCTAGTGTCAGTGCCGGTGGCTGGTGGCCATGGAGTCAGTGTATCCTCTATATCGTTCCAATTTTATCGAACGGACGGAGTCAGTGTATTCTGTGAGTAGTTGTGTCAGGTTTTAGGAGTGGCGTGAGGGGAGTCTGGCAGTGGCTGGAGAGGCCAAGTTGCCTAGTTGTGTTCTGCAACTCTCTTGTACGTTGCTTTCTACCTTCTATAAAGCTAAGGTACACGATTGCATACTCTTGAAGAAGAGTCGAAGAAGAGTTAGTGCCAGTTCTGCTTCGATGCACGCCGAGACACGCGTTTTTTTATCTGACGCTTTTTCTAAGTTAAGATTCCTTTTTGGAGTTACAGTGCCTTTTTTCAAGAAATTACATGTTCGATTCGTAGTTATGGATACCGCAGTTGTTAAAAATCCCTCTTTCTGGTAGAATCCTAGTAATGCATTTGCGTAGGCTAGTGGCATTGTCACGAGTTTCTCTTGAAAAATATTGAAATTGTATACATCATAGGGGGGGGATATAGCTTGTTGTAACAAGGGCGAATCGTATGTCCTTGATTTCAACTCACTGCATGGATGTCCTGATGAGTGATAAACAAATCAAATTGAGGGGATACACACCATCTACGTGTAGCTGAGAGTCGTTGCAAATAAGTTGGCGCTGCTCGGTTAAGGTCGCAACTATCAGCATCTTTTTTCCTGAGAACATTGTTCAAGCATTTACGTTATTTTCCCTTCAGAAATGCGGTACAATATTAGCTGAACACACTAGCCATATGACCCTGAGACCACCAATTCCAAGATGCAGCTGCACATATTTACTGAAAAAATACATAGCACAACCATCAAACCATGTACGTACTGAGTTTCAGCAGGTTCTGTCTGTAAGTGCTTGCTCTGAATGAAACCATTCTCAAGGATATATATCTGAGTTACAGCTATTGTGTTCCCCTGGTGGAACAGGAAAATCGTGACAAAACTTACTCTATCTCTATCCAAACATGGTTTCTGCTATGCCAAAGAGCAGCGCACAATCAAATCTCTTTCCTGACTGCTGCTGCTGCTTGGTTTAGTTCTATATACATCCCTTTTTATCCATTTTGATGACAAGTATTTTCGGACGGAGGGAGTACGACATAGCTCCCCATGGTGATCGTATCTGAGTCACACTCATGTGTTCCAACTCATAAGAGCCTCTGGCAAATTTTAACATGCTCCCTCTTACCCCCTCTTTTTACATGTGAGGTAAGACGGTAAGAGTTAATCAGACCATACAAAGAAAGCTCAGAATTTAGTGATCATCGACCCCTTCCTTATAGTCTGAATCAAATCTGTTGCTGCTGCTTTGTGGTGGATCCCATGGTGACGGTGTTGCATATTGACAGCTCGCTAATCTTTGCGGAAGGCATTTCTCCATGTCTTGGGCTTCAGAAGACTGGGCTCTGTTCACAAATGATGCCACAGAGAACTTGTAAGTATTGATCTAGCATCAAAGTTTACACTGGAAAAGCATGCACAGAAAGGGAATATTTACTCTAATTTTGGAAATGCCATGCTATTACCACTATCTTTGGTGTGCGCTATTACCATTTTCTAACCACTCTATTAAATACACTCTCTTAGTTACTACTTCCTCTGTCCACAAATATAAGACCTTTTAGCACGCTATCTTCCTGTGTTATCTAAAACGTCTTATATTTATGAACAGAGGAAGTAGTAAGTGTGCATTTGTATGTAACACACGTTTATTGTTATGCAAAGGGGGGAAAATCAAGACCGCTTCATTTAGTCACGTAACAAACTAGCTGGCTGGAGCAATTCGATCCAGCTCGAGTACTAGTATATATCTGGAAGATTGTCTGAATTTTTTGCTGAAATGTGACAAATTAATCGAGAACGAAACTGATGCCTGCGTACCTTGATAATGGCCATCTAGATCTTTCTCCTCAAGGCTGCTTAGACGTTCTTGCAGGCATGTAGGGAGCCTCTTTATACCAGGACAGTTTCTAATCTCAAGCCTCTGGAGAGATGAGTATGCTTGTGGCCCATCCGGTAGGGATGACAGGGTTTTGCATCCAACGATGTCAAGGCGTTCCAACGATGGGAACTCTCCCGAGTGAGATTCCACTGATCTTAACTGATCACACCTAGAAACCATTATTGTTTCAAGGGACGGAGGCAGACTGAGGAGCCCTGTTAAGCTATCACACTTCTTTATGTATATATATTCTAAACATGGAAAGAGAAAATGCTCCGCCCTGGATACAGCTGATGATGATGACACCTCTGAATATACATGTGATCCCCCTTGAAGATTCGATGATGGTGACTGTCTTTCCTGCAGCATCCTGCTGCATATGGACTTGAGCTTAGTGCAATTAACAATTTCCATTCCCCTCAGGGATGCAGGGAGTTTGAACAACTCTACCATGCTTTCACAACCATCTATATCAAGGAACTCAAGACGTGGCAGGAGATGGCTCGAGGATTCTAATGATGTTGATGGCACAGCTGCAGGAGCTTGTGCGTATCCAACCAGTTGTTTGCAGTCCCTTATCCTTAGAACCCTCAAGAATACCAAGCTTTGGAACTCTTTCTCTGGCCAGTGGATAAGTGCAGCACAATCATGAATGCACAAGTCTTGAAGCTGTACAAAACATGCACATAGCTCTGTTACACCCGTCTTAAGGCCAGTTAACTTCATATCTACCAAAGGGAAATCATGACGGTTCCATTTTTCCATGATGTCCACCACTTGTGTCAAACTATGCTCAGCCCCCGCTGCCGAGGTTGTTTCTGTATCTACAAGGTTCTTGAGTTTCAGACTGGTCAATGAAGTCATATGTGTAGCTACCCACAGGAACATCTCTTCCTCACTTCCCTCCATGTCCAATACACGGAGCTTTGGTGATTCAACCTTTTGCTGTCCTGGTAATGTTGTCATCTTCTTACAGCCTATAACATATATCTTCTCAAGATGAGGAAAAATGATATCTTCTCCTTGAGATCCTACGACCGAATTCCATCTCTCAAAGTTTCTCAAGTTTATCAATTCGAGAACCTTTAGTGCTGGAAATGCTGATGGTGCCATTGTACCATAAGATTGTCTAAGCAATGTTGCTTCTGGTAACGCTGTCAATTTTCCACATTCAACAGTACATAACTTCTCAAGCTGCTGAAATATTATCTCTTCACCCTGTTCCTTGTTTGTGATTTCCCACAATCCCTTCAAACATTCCAGACCTTTTAGTGTAAACACCATCAGATTTGGAAAAGAGAAGGACGTACCACAACTGAATAACCATTGCACTTTTTTACAATAGTAAAGATGGATCTCAACCATGTTTTGCAACATACCCATCCATGTTGGAAAGGCGGTGCCTCCGTACAAATTTATCCTTACAGCCTGCAACTCATGATGTGGTTTTAGAACCTCGAGCACTCGTGCATCATCCATACTACCAACAGTCCATCCTAATGTCAGTTCTCGGAGTTCCTTCTTCTTTTCGAGATTTGCCGCTTTTGCATCTTCTTCTGTGACATTCTCTAGCCGCCTTAGCTCTAGCTGTCCACCAAGGTTTAAATGTTGCAACTCTCCAACATCACTGCACCCAGAGCCGGTACGACTTGCTGCAAAACATGTAAGCGTCTGCAGTGACATTAGTTTTCGGAGGTCACTAGGCATGCTCCTTATCTTTGGACAACCATGATTGTAGAGGTGGCGAAGGGATGTCATATAATTCATTTGACTTGGAAGCTGACGAAGTTGTTGGCAGCCAGAGATATTCAATGTTTGCAGGTTGTGTAGAATGCTTATATCTTCAGGAAGTGCTTCGATATCACTTCCTGAGAGATCAAGGTACCTTAGGTGATGCAGATGCTTTGATTTCAAAGGGAATGAGTTACTCCGTATATAGAGCCGTAATGCCTTCAAAGAGCTGTATTTTGATAAATGCCGCAATGGACCTTTCATGTACATATCACACATAAGTGTCTGGATTGCCGGAGATCTTTTCGCCAAATATTCATTCAATATAGTTTCTGGTTGTTCACAAGACAAAAGTAAGTGGCGAGCTGTATCTGGAAGCCACTCAATCTGACAGGTAAGTGGTTTGTCAGGTGCAAGTGCACATTCTTTTTCCATTGTAGACAGTGCGACATCATGCATAAGATCATGGATTTTACATGTATTTTTGTAATAACGATCAACACATCTGATGAACCCAATTTCGTAGCATTCGACTTCAACTTGCTTCACATCCACAAAGAATGACCTCGAGGTCAGCTCACTGAAAATCCATTTGGCAATGGTTTCGAGACTAACATCTTTTCGGTCCTGGATAAAGCCATGTGCAATCCATAGTCGGATCAGCTTGTCCACATCAAACTCGTAATCCTTAGGAAACATGGCACAGAAAGAAAAGCACTGCTTCATCTGCGATGACAAGTCATTGTAGCTGAGCTTGAGTATTGGTAATATTCCAGATTCCTCGGTGCAAATGTTGCTTTGGCTTGCAATAGCCTTCCATTCTTCTTCGCTGGTCTTTGTATGCAGCATAGAGCCCAGTGCTGTTGGAGCCAAAGGAGAGCCACGACATCTCTTTGCAATATCACCAACCATATTAACTAGCACGGCAGGTCTTTCTTCCTCCTTCTGCAAATTGAATGCTCTTCTCTCGATAATTTCCCTTATAAAGTCATCCTCCAACTCTGCAAGATCATAGGGTTTCACTGAACCCATTATTTTTGCAACTCCTCCATCACGAGTAGTTGTCAGAACCACACTACCCTTGGCACCAAGTGTAAGACGGGCCTTGAGCATTTCCCACTTATCGCTCTCTCGGTTCCAGACATCATCCAATACAAGGAGATACCTATGCCCGCTTAGTCCATCTTGAAGCCTATCCAGTGGCCTTTTCTTGGAAGTTGCTTCGGCTGTATTTCTGTTTGGAGTTGCTGCTTCAACAATACTGTTAGCCAGGGAATCCACATCAAAGTTGTCAGAGACACAAACCCAAATCAACAACTCAAAATGCTTCTGAACTTCAGGTTCGTTGTAAATGAGCTGCGCTAAGGTGGTCTTGCCTAGCCCCCCTACTCCAACGATGGGAAGAACCATGAGATTTTCATTGCTAGCATGACCAAGTAGTGTGGCAACAATATTCTTAGTATCTTGGCTTCTCGATCTGCTGATGATTTCCTTTGGATCAAAGATAACATGATCCGTCTTCCTCCACTGCTTGGATGCCGGTGCTTGCTGCTGATATTTAAACCCAAATGCATTCATCTCAGCCACAAGGACTTCAAGGGACTGCAGAACCCTGCAGAGCTTCTTCCCCATTTTGTTGCGGAATGCAAAACGGTTGTGTGTGGGAAAGAGCTTCACTGCATCGAAGCCAAGCTTGACGTAGTGCCCGTTCTTCTTGGCCTCACGGCGGAGCGCCTCATAATTGAACTCGTCGAACACCTCGTTCGCCTCGTAGGCCACCCTCTTGACTTCCTCCAGCCAGGCCATGGCCCCATCCCTGTGGGACGCCGCCTGCTCGGCGTCGGCAATGATGTCAAGGATGGCTCGCAGCTTGCGCTTGAGCACCCTATGCTGCTCCTCCATGCCATCCATCACCTTGTACTTGTCCAGCAGGTAGCTGGACGCCTTCTGCTTCACGATGGACAGCAGCGGCCCGACCACCATGGTGGCCACCAGCTCTGCCATGGCAATGCTCGGAGCTCGCAGCAGCACACTCAAGAACCACAACTGCAGAATCATGCAGCACGGAGAAGAGAATGGTGGCGTGAGCAGGCTAGATGTGCAGGTGCAAATGCTACTGTGGAGAAATGGAAGCAAAATGGGAGTACCTTAGCGCAGCCCACGCTGAGATCCTTTGCACTGAACCTGGAGAGGAAGGTCAAAGAACACGGGGAATCAGAGCTGCAGTTCAGAGTGGAGAATGGCGGGGAATCGGAGCTGCAGTTCAGCCATTTTTTAGATGTTTGTGTGGATCAATTTGTTGTGAGCGATGGAGGCTGTACTGCAAAATATTGCTCACTGTTAATGGCTGGGCTTGTTGAGCTAAATCTGAAGAGGTAAATAACAAGAGAGGAAACAGAGGATACCTGGTGTTCTCGACGCAGCAACGACAAGATTAAGACCGCGGCGGTGACAGCAGCCTCAACACTAGCGCTCTCCAAGCGACCAAACTTGGGAGATCTGCCAGGACGACCAGAAAGATAATTTACCATTTAGAAACTATAGTTAGCAAATGGCCAAGTGTTCCAAACTACAGGTGACTAAGAAACAACGGGAAGCATTACCAGGCGGCCTGCATCACCTTGTACAACAACAACTGCAGCACAGTGCAGAACCAGACAGCACCACCAAGACAGCGAACACAACCTCAACACCAGAGTTCTCCCAAGCCACCAAACTTGAGATCTGCCGGGCGAACCAGAAAGATACTAGTTTACAATTTAACAAACTATAATTAGCAGGATGTCAGAGATGTACAGAGCAGAGTAAGAAAGACAGAAAATATTACCAGGAAAATCCAGGGGACTTGTACTAAGCTTCCTAATGGACAGCACTCACAGCACAAGCAGAACCACAACTGCACTGCAGAACAACAGAGGGCGGTGGAGATGCCAACAGAGGGTGGCGTGAACAAGCTAGACATGCAGGTGCATATGCTTCTCGGGAGAAACGGAAGAAAAATACCAGGGAGCACGGGGAACCAGAGCTACAGTTCAGAGTGGGGAATTATTCAGGGCACTAGTTCAGACTTCAGAGTGGAGAAGAAAATGCGGTGGAAATGGAAGCAAAATCGAATCAGAAACGTAGTTTACAATTTACCAACTACAGTTAGCAAATGACCAATGTTTCAACTAAGAGCAGAGTAAGAGAGATCTGCCAGGCGAACAAGAAAGATAGTGAATTTACCAAGTTACAAACTAGAATTAGCAAATGGGCAAATGTTCCAACTAAGATGAACCAGAGCATGCAAGAGATCCACCACGGACTAAAATAAATTACGACGGAGTAGACATGCAGGTGCATATGCTTGTGAGCAGAAATGGAAGCAAATGCAGGTACCGTAGCAGTAGCACACACCCACAGTGAGATCCTTGGTATGGCTGAACCTGGAGAGGAATCAGATCTGCATTTTAGAGTGGTGAGGATTCATTAGGAGAAACGGAAACAAAAGCGAGTACACCGGCGCTGAACTGAACCTGGAGAGGGGGGTCGCACCGCGGCCGGCGGCGCCGCCTTGTGATTCGCGCGGCGGCAGGGCAGGCTCGTCGACCAGCTCAGCTCAACACAGGGGGGTTAAGGTGAGGACCGGCCGCGCGTGGTTGCCCTTGCGCTGGCTGCACCCGGAGAGAAGGAGGTCGGGGAGGCTCGCGTCGCGCTCCGATTCGTCCGGCGGTCGTCTGGCGCCTCCGGCAGCAGCGATTTACTGTACTACTGTACTAGGGATTATGAGTGGGGAAGAGGATTGATTGATTGATTGATTGAATGAATGGGGGAGAGAGGGAGAGTAATAAGTGAGGAGGACGGACGGTGGTAGCTGTGGGCTGTGTACGTTGAGAAGATCATTCATGTCGCCTACGTAGAATCTTTTCTTTTCACTTTAACGCTATCTGGATGATACAATAATACTCTCTCGTCCTCTTATAATATAAGACATTTTTGCAAGCTAGGAGTTTACTACTTTTTTACAATAATACTACGCCTACGAAACTGTTACGAAGCTTTA